GAGACGTGATAGATTTGGTGTCTCGCTTCCATATAATGCTCACCATGCAGCTGTATAATATTTTATAATTTAGAACATAGTTAAAAATTAAGGGTATAAAATAAACGATGGAACTATACATAAAGTAAGAGACAAGTAAGATTATTTTTGGGCTTTTAGCCTTTACCTGGATCTGTAGTGTCCCTATTTCAAGTGGCAATATCTCTCCCAAAGTTTCCCAAGGCTAACTTGAACTTAATCAATTCATGGCTTTGGATCTCATCCTGGATATCTTTGTCTGGCATCACCTTCTCCAGCACATCTAAGAACCCACCATTTATTACATGATCTGACTTAATGGATGAGTGCTTGTAGTGAAGAGATGGGTTTAAAAAATAACCGGCTGTATGGAGGTGCCTGTGAAGCTGGGTATCCCATCTCCTATCAATAATTTCAAGTATAGCCTTGCGCATAATTTCATCATCCTTTAAAACATCTTTTATTTCAGTTCTTGCCCTAGTCATTGCCTCATGTATGTAGCTCATGGCGAGCTTCGCATCACCATCAACCAGTCGAAGCACTCTCACTAAAGGGCAAGCCTCCTCTAATGCAAGAATTATTTGACTTCAAAAATATGTATTCAGAATAATTTTTTCAGCCTTTCTCCCACCCTTATGCTTTAACCATTTGCTTTGACTCCATTGCTCTGAAGCAAACATGGTCCTCAAGGGACTTTTTTGCTTGGTTAGGCTTCGAAGAGGGAGAAATGACGTGGTAAATCTAGTGATACCCGGTCTCACTAATTATCTCTTCTTTGTAAAAGACCTCATCATGCTTAGGACTATGATGTGATTGTAAATAAATCCAACAACAAACATAGCTCTTGCAATCACCCCACTAAATAAAGATGTTGTACCCATTTCCGTAAGCATAAGATTAATATAGTGAGCTGCCGGAGGAGTCTAAAACGTATGCTTCCTTTTCAAAGTCAAGAAATGCCCAACTGCAGCATAGTTGGCACCATTGTCAGTGATAATTTGTACCACATTTTGCTCCCCAACAAAATCGACAATCTCATCCATCAAGCTACATAAGTATATACCATCATGTGACTTGTTTGATGCATCAATAGACTTAACAAAAAAAGTACCTGTTGGGCAGTTAACCAAACAATTAATGAATGCCCTTGATTCCCCATCGCACCAACTATCACACATAATAGTGGCCCCATATTTTTCCCACCCTTCTATTTGAGAAATCAAAATTTTATTCACATCAAATACAACATCCTTCAACAAGGGCTCCCTAACCTCATGTAGTGAAGGAGGAATAAGTCCTGGGCCATATTGCCCTATTGCCTGGACCATACATGCAAAACTATCCAGAGTTATAGTATTAAAAGGAATGCCGGCCATGTAAATCCACTTTGCAATCCACTTACATACCGACTTGCTTTGTTCTTTCTTATATTTATTTTCAATTATGGTTTGTTTTGTTTTTTTCTTTCTCTCCTGAACCACAATTTCGGGGCTAGAGGTGAAAAAAGAATCCATTCGCCCCTTAGAGAGAGGTGTTCTTCTCTCAACACTACCACCAATATTTATAACCCTCTCTCTTGAGGTTGGACTATGAGTACCCCTTTGCCTCATAGCAACTTCTGACATATCATCATCATCATCAACATCATCAAATAATTGCATATCATCAAGTAATTCCTTTTTTTTTTTCTCTTTATCTTTTTTTAATCTATCCAAATATTCTCTACTCTCCTTTTTTATATCATCTGTAGCTTGTGGGCATGCTTTTACATTCTTAGAAAGTCCGGCTAAATGCTCTTTTTGTCGAAAAATACCACTCATATAAGTATTTCCACAGAGCAAGCATATCACACAATTTCTATCTTTCGGATTTTTTAGTTTAGCGTATTTTCAAGCCGGATCCTTGTTACTAGAAGATTGGGAAGAAGACATTGTCCCAAAATAAGTATAACAATATTATTCTACAAGAAGGAATAAAAAGTCACTGACTCTATGAAGTGCTTGATTTCTTCATGGCCTCTGAAACCCCCCAATTTATTATCACAAATTCACCTTAACATCCCCAAATCAACAATCAAAGGCATCAAATGAACATCCAAGTATCAAATAACCGCCAAATCGAAGATTTGGATGAAAAACAAATTTCCGCCAAATTTTTTTTTTCCCTCCATTTGATGCAAAACAAGCCACAAAAGTGGCTGGAAATCTTCCTTTAGGGGGTATAATAACCCCCCAAACAGTTTCCCTTAACTTTGTTAGTTCAAAAAGACCATTTCGATAATTTTTTCCACAGAAAACAGATGCGGCGCGATGCGGGCAATACGGCCATGATACGGGATGCGGCCATGATGCCGCCTGATACGGCGCATATGCGGCCGCATCTGTCAAAAGCGCATATGCGCCAGTTTGCGATGTGGATGCAAGCGCATATCGCATGATGTGGCCGCATTTTAGAACACGGGGAGTAATGCACAATATGCTCGTGCATGAGCACAGTACCTGTGCTCAATCCTCGATTAAAACTTAGTCGAAATGCGAAATCTAGCCAATACTTTCAAACTTTTTGGCAGGGACCCGCTCTCGTCCAGATAGCAATGCGCTCCCTAGAAGTCATGGAACTTGCACCCATCCCCAAACCATGTATAAAGCTTCTTGCTCTGCCGCCCAAAGATCTTCGAGCTAGACTTGCACCACGCTCTAGTTCCCGTTCCCGTTGGTTGGGTGGACTCGCCTTTATTTGACAGGTTGACACGATGGGCACCAGGTCTAGACCCGGTTAGTGGACCTGACGACTTGAGTCTTTGTCTATTCGACCCATATTCGAACCGGATCTGTTCCGTGTCTGGGTTCGGTCGACCCCACCTGATCATTCCCCAATATATGCATATATCATATATATATGTATATGTATATATAT